TACAAGCTTTTATTACCGACCCTTAAAAGTTGTTATCCTATTAGGACCATCAAATCAAGTGCCAAATCACCTAATAGAGGAATATTAGTGGATTTAAAAGAGAAAATAATACAAGTGGATATTCAGAAGATATGAAATGACATACACCTTTAATAATTTTCTTTGATTTGCCATCCGGGATTCAGAGTCCATATTAGAGCCCCGACTTAATCTGGATCACGAACTACAGGGTCTATTTAGGGATGACACTCCTAGCAGGATTTTCTCAAGGCTCGAATCTGAAACCTTTGGTTAAGGGTAAAACACTCCCACCACTACATCGCCGTCCATGTTTATGACACACACCTTTAATATAACACTACTAATGCTAAAGTCTTTAATTTTCAAAAAATATATATATTGGGGCCTTGCCAATTCACGTGAATAGGCCCTACCCTCTTCTTCAATTGTCTCTTAGTGCAAATTGTGGTGAAGGCCCACTAATATTCATTGTGAATTCACTATATATGCTTGATGTCAATAATTGATACTTAGATTCTCCTTAAATTTTTTATTTATTTTCTTGTTACTAGTTCAATTTGTAACTTTTGAATTCAAATATATGCAGCTGAGGTATAATTCTTTTTCTCTAATAGATATAGTCCAGTTTTTATGTGTAGAAATGACAAATAAACTTTAGAAAAAAAGAGAAAGCTTGACTAAAAGTAGATATATAGAATGAGTGATATATAAAGCTGCCAAAATTAGAAAGAATGTATCAACTTTTTGAGATCTTGATGTAGCCAAAATGGGGAGTGTGCTTGACCAAAGTTATTATGGGAAAAAGCCCAATTACTTGTAAATTTCTCATCTTTACATGCAGCTAGTTTTATAGGCCCAATACTTGTAATGCATGTCAAATCAATAAGGAAAAATCACACCATATACACATTTAAGAGATAATATTACGAGTTTTAAACCTACTCTTAAAAAATTCTTACTTATAACAGTTTAATTACGGGTTATAACATATCAATTAAATTTAACTTTATTTAAAAATCAATTAAAATTTACTTTATTAAATGATTAATCTTTTTATATTATTAATTATTTAATTATATTGATTGCAGTTCCTTTTATATAATTAGTAGGTGAGAGAAATAATATTAATAAGAGAGAATCAATTTGTAATTATCTATTACACCTTTTAAGAGATTTTTTTAACTTATTCAAATAAATTTTATTTATTAATGACTATTGGGGCCTTTAATTATTTAAAATAATAATAATTTATGACCGTATATTTTAACATGTAATTTTCTCTCTCTTTAATCTATTTTTTTTGCTTTTCATCATATTTTTTTATTTTAAATTTTGATATTGTTTTTTTTTTAATCTGATTTTTTTAGAATTAAGAATTCTATATTTTGAAAATTTGATTTCGTTTTTTATTTTAATTAATCTAAAATATGATTTCTTGAGGAAAAAAAATCGTTTTACTTAAGTTTGAACTTGTTTTTGGTGTGTTTTTCTATATCTAAAATATTGCTTTGTTGGTGAAATAAGTATATTTAATTCTGAAATTTGTTGATATATATAGATAATATGAGATCATAAAATCTTTAATAAGGATTTCTTAAGTTTTAGCTTAAATATGATGAAAAAAAATCACACTTGAATACGGAATATAAATTGAAGAGAGAGGAAAATATAGAACTTGTATTAATTATTGCAGTTTAGACTTTTAATTACATGTTTTGATTTTTGGGTGATGTATATTTCTTTTGCTACAATTTCTGACAACAATGTATAATATGCATTGTTTTACAACCAAATTTATTCTTCCCGGATTTATACCCGTTGGATACTAATTTTATACATTTTTATTTTTTGTCTTTGTTCTAAAATTTCAAGTTGGATACCAAGTGTATATAAATTGGATAAAACATTAACTTGTTTTAGATTGTCTAATTTGGTTGAAATATCAGTTATATTTTGTTTTTTTCATTTTCAAGTGGGATATCTGTTGGATACCAATTGAATACAACATTAACTTGTTTAGGTTGTCTAATTTGATTGATATCTCAACCACCTGTTGATTTTTCAATTTTCCAATGGGATATCAATTCAATGCTAAATTTATACAAATTGGATACAATATTAACTAGTTTTACGTTGGCTATTTCAGTTGAAATCTCTATTACATGTTTAATTGAAATCTCAATTACATTATCCATTGCTATATTCTTCAAAGTTAGGCACAATGGATATTTAGTAAAGAAATCTAAATTAACTTTCTTTTGATCTAAAAAAACCCGCACACCAACATCATTGTGGATTCTAACAGGTGGACATCTATCATTTACTAAATATTTTATCTCTAAATCATTTATATTAGTCTCTATCATAAGCTGCGATGTTATCGCACTTACTAGACCACTATAACGACTAGAAGAATCGTATATAACCCCCTCCATTTGAAAATCGACATAATTCCCTGTTTCATTAAAAAAAATATAAATTAGTCTCACATTATAAACAAACAATTCGAAATACAAATATCATTCAGACAGTCAGAACATTACAAAACAAATTTTATATTCAATCAAAAAACATTTCATACAAATATCATTCAAATAGTAACGTTCATACTATTTTAATACAAATTTCATACAACAAATATGTCCATTTTTTTTTACGAAAATACTTCATTAATGTCACACAAATTTATACAAAAATGTCAACAATAAAATTTCAAAATTAATACAACCTTAAAACACTTATAATACAATTCGTCAAAATTTCAAATAACTTTTTTTTCAGATTATTGGACACGCTTTCATACAAATTTCATACTTTCTTAATATACATTTCATACATATATCATTAAGTTAGCTTATTTCATAACAACTTTCAAACTCACTTAATACACATTTCATACAACAAATAATCATACATTACAAATATCTATATCTTATCGTACCAAATAATTCATTTCTATCTCACTAATTACTTCAGAAATGACAACATCTAATATAACACACTAAAATTTATAGTTTAATACCAACTTAAAACACTTGTTATACAATTCGTCAAAAATTCAAATAACTTTTTTTACATCTTACGAAACACATTTTCTTACAAATTTCTTTCCAATAATTCTATTAAATTCATTCATAAATATACAATTACTTTATAATTTTTTAAAAAATACACAAAACAATCATAAATTCAGAAAATCACTAATATTATACATTTCACAACAGTTAACAAGTAATGATATCATCTTAAACACAGAGACGATTTACAGTTTAATATATATTTTTTCATTTCAATGTAATTTAAAAGCAAACACTAAACAATAATAAATACTAATCCGAATGATCCCATCTTCCACCATGTTTAATTAGAATTGATACGTAATTGTCCATCTCAATAAAATCAATTTTTTTAATGAAAAAAACCTTCAATTACTCGATTGTGGTAATCTTTTAGGCTGAAGAATTAAGAGAGAGATATGTTGAAGAAAAAAAGGATATGATCTGATTTTTTATTTTATTTTAACTGCTTTGAGTGAATTAAGGATAAAAAATATGGTTAATTTGTTTGGATCCCTTATTTCATGCTAATCATTAATTATCTACAATAAGTTCAAATTAAATTACATGCTACAATTTCAGTTTTTTACTTTATTATTGCTAATTTCATTTTTTTTAAAATTTTCGTTTATCTTTTTATTTTATTTTTAAGTTTTTTTCAATTAATAAAAATATTTCTTTCTTTTTTTGTAAATTTGTTATAACCTGAAATTTTTAATGCTATAACTTGAAAGTCTAGATCTACTGCTATAGCTTGAAAATAGTACTATAACTTAAGTTGATTTAATTTAATTTAACTTCAAAAATTAGTCAAATTAAAAAAGAAAGTGAAAAGTGTCACAAAAATTAGAATTGAATGGAGTTTGTATTTATTTGCATATAAATTTTGTTAGTATTCCATGTAGGTAGCAGAGATCATAATTTGTATGAGACCATCAGCACTTGTTGAGCTAGTTTGTCCACACTCTAACCGTTGACTCTAGGCGTGCATGGTAGTCCCACGTCAGCAAGTGCAAAGATCTCCTTATATTAGTGGTGGAAAATTCTTACCTCTTGAGGTGGCTTTTGAGACAATGTTTAATCAATTGAAATTTTCCCTTTAATTTATCACCTACTTGTTTTAAAATAATACTATAATCCTCCTCTACACTGAGCAAAGTTTGTAGTGCATATCCCCTTAGTCCACCTAGCTACCATTCCTCTTCATAAATTGTCCGGATGAAATATTTTAGGCTTAAATTATGCTTATCTACTTGAATTTATTTTTATTTTTTTGGAAAGAAAAAAACTATTTTACTTTCATGCTCAATGTCACGAGAAAATAATAGAAGTTACATTGATAATTTTTATTAAAAAAAAAGTTTATATATGGCTAGTAAGTATACATTCTTAGGTTGCCATTCATATCAACTCTAAACTAACGTTCTATCCTTTGCAGACTTTACTTGTGCCAAATGATTTACTAACGGAAAAAATCATTGACTAATGGAGGAAATCAAAGTCAGTTTATTTTATTTCTGCCACTCTGGGAGAGCCAATACCATCGACTTCTTCCAATACCTTGAAATTATATTCGATAAAGAATTATCTATAAGACTACACTACAACCAGTAATGTTTCTGAAGAATCAAACAACAGGTGAAAAGTGCCATGGTAATTCTAAAAAGAAAAGATGTATGATGCCAATCTCATTAAGATCTTGATGTTTAGCCAAGTGAAATGCCCCCAAGAAATGCGATTTTCTATTTGAATAGGCACAAAGTTTCCAGAAAAAATAGGCGAAAGCCTTCAATGCCCACTTCAAAATCATTTGAATTGTTTTACCATATGAAAAATGCGACATAGGCTGTTTATAGAGAATGCATGTCACAATAACTTTGTTGATGCACCATTATCTGATTCATGGAATAGCAAACAAAATGCTAAAAAGGTAACCCTTCATTTCAATACAGAAAATTTTCAACACGGGCTAATGCTGTATTTTAGATCCGCTAAAATAAAAGGGAAGTTAACTACAAGTACCAACTATTCCTGCTCAAAAAAGTAATAATCAGTTAAACTAGGGTCATCATTAGATATGAATTTGGAGATAAACACTAAGGAGACACTGACTGGATTGCTCCATGATACTCCTCCATAATCTCGCAATCCTGCTTCTTTTTAATTGCTCTTTCACCACAGAGCTAGCTATACAGATCTGCAACATTAAAAAAAAGAAGCAATTAGACAGTGAAATATAGTCATACTACAGGCAATCATTCACTGGTCAACCACTACTAAATAGTCGAGGTGTGCATCAAGCTGGCCCTGACATACCAGTATCATCAAAAAAAAATCTGCACCGAGGCATTATGTGATGCTCTGCTTGCAGCCCTTTGACATTACTCAAATCCTAATTGAATTCTAGAACTCACACTAATTCAGTCAGAGACACAGGATGCACTTGAGTCTAGATGTAAGAACAAAAAATTCTCATCTCCATATGCATGAAACACCTGGTTCTGGGCATCGATGTTCCAAAGCAGGACTGATGAGTTTGTGTTGGTGAAGGTCCAAAGGGACTGAACTGCCTCTGGTCAAACTTTTTGCATCAAAAGATCAAGGTTAGAGGCTATAGAAGAAAATCATTTCCCACATCCTTGTGAGAAAGAATCTATAATGTAGTCCTAGAGCGGGAGATTGAATTTATTCCAATGTTTATCATCTCCAAGCCATCGAATGCAAAGACAATTAGGGGTTGGGTAAGCACATCTTACCCTTCAGAAAGAGTGAAGCAACTTCTTTGACACTCTTCATAAAGTAATAGAGATTCAGACAACTAACTCATGCCTACGGTTCTCACACCATTCCATGAGTCAGGCCCTTAAGTTCAGCTGAGGGTAAGAAGTCATGTCAAACCAAAGCAACTGCGTATGTCATTCAAAAGGAACTATGATAATTTGAGAATCATCAATCAGCACCAGGTCAGCAATCATCCGACCATTAGCAATGATGTAATACTGTCTAACCCATATTAAGCATCTTAATCTTTTTTTTCTCTAGAGAAAAGGCAAGTATAATCTTAATCTCTTAACAAGTTAATAAGATTTTTTTTTAATGAAGTGATAAGTTCTAAGATTCTTAATTTTCCTTGGCATGGATATCAAAGCAAAGAGCATAAGATCAGGTCCCACCAACCTAATTTGGGTCCTTTTGCTACAGAAGGCAAAGAACCCTTTCAAAGACATTAAGATAGGTCCTTAGGCAGAAATAATGATGAAAGTTGAGACAGAACACAAAGGAACATCAAACGCTTTGAACTGGGAAAAATGGATCCTTCTTGAAACACTTTGAATGGGTTAAAGGAAAAAGGAAAAACAGGTCTCCTCTTTATGTGAAGACTGCAAAAGATCTGCTACTACTGGTCATCATATAACCAAAGGACTACTGTTGAAGGTATTGAATAAAAAAATAAGAGGTTGCCATGTTCTCGTAAAATTATAACTTTTTCATAATCTGGACAAATGATGGTATTTTATCATTTTGGAACAATAGTCCTGACATTCCAATTACAAACTGGTCCATAAAATACTAGCAGAAAATGCCTTTAAGCTTTCCAACACCACGAAAGCTATCTACAACACTGTTCCTAAGGTGTAAGTTCAGAACATTGTTACTTAAATACTTGAAGATGCAATCCTAGTGGTTCAGACCCAACACTGGAGACCAAAACTAATTATGCTAAAAGGTACTCTCCGTCCATCCCAATTTAAGTGTCTTAGTTTGACTAGGCATGGAGTTTAAGAAGAAAAAAAAGGAAGACTTTTGAACATTGTGGTCTTAAATTAAAGATGTGTGTAATCCTTTAAATCTTGTGATCTTAATTGGGACAGACCAGAAAGGAAAGTAAGACACTTCATTGGGACGGAGGGAGTAAAAAAGAGTACCCATTTCAACTGAAAAACAATAACTATAAAGAAAAAGAGAGTTACATCCAAGGCTCCAAGATAAACATGCAAATCATCAAATGCCCTAAAAATATTTACACAACTAGATGCACATTTAAACTTCAAATAGAGGTTCAAGACCATTGTTACACTTCTAATTTTGTTTAATCACGCATAAGCATACATCCATCTTTGTCTCAAAATCAATTACACACATATGTAGGTCTTGAGAGGCACAATATTCACTACTGTATAATGAACAACACATAAATCATCAAAAGGAACTTAATATTAGCAACAATATCACAATGAGATGAAGAATTTAGAAACTAAAACACCCAACACTCTTATCACTATTACATATCCGCATGCTAAGCCAACAAGTTTTGAACTTTCACACCAATGAATGTAAAAAGGAGCAAATAGGTTCATGAGAAATCAAAAGGTGTAAACTTTATACCATCAGAGCCAGATCGCTTAGTATGCTTAATCTTTTCAAGCTGAACTTGTGTATCCATAAACAACTGCATCCTTTGAACCTCCAAATCCTTAGCAAACTGCATCCTCTGCTTCTCCAGCTCCACCATTTGTCTCTGTTTCATCCCTTCAACTCTCTCATATATATCCCCAAACCTCTCTATAGCCTTAGCCAGCCTCCTCATCCCATCCTCTTCCCAACTCTCCTCAGTCATCTCCACATCCTCCTCCTCCTCCTCCTCCTCCTCGTCATCATAATCCTCTTCCCCTCCTCCTGCTGCAGCAGCAGCAGCTACTGCCGAATAATTTCTCCTGAAACACGATTCATCAAAAGCCGGCAACTGCCGCTTCTGAGGCAAACTGACCGGCGTCACCATCGCCGATCTCCGGTAAGGCAACGGCACTCCCATAGGCGGAGAGGACATCGGTAAAGGTAAGGGAGACACCATCACCGGCGTAACTTTTTTATCGGAGTTTCCGATCAACATATCAAGCCGTTCGAAGAAGGGCCAGGATGACGTTAGGGTTCCGTTAGACTCAATAATTTTCGCCTTCTCAACTTTGTACTTCTTCTTCAAGGTATCTATCCGATTCTTACATTGAACATCGGTGCGGCGACTCTTCTTCGAATGTCCATGAAGGACATTAACGGAATCGGACACCTGTTGCCAATCCTTCTGACGGAGATTTCCACGGTTCAATTCCATATAACGACGTCCCCAAGCATCAACAAGGGTCCATGTAGCTTGTTCGCTCCAACAATCCTCACGGAAGGGCAATGGCCTTGAGGACATGGTTACCTGTGTGGAGGATTCGGTAATTTCACCCATTGATGGAAAGAATGAAGAAGAGAAGAGGAAACGTTGATCGGAGAATGAAGGAAGAAAGAGGGAGGGTATAAAGGATAATCGCCGGTTGGCGATTGGAAAAGCGCGTGAGCCGCATGAGTAGGAGAGTGTACGGAGATGATGACATAAGTAAAGGTGAAGTCGCCGGGAATGGCGCGTGAAGTTACGACAGACGGCAACAGGACGGAATTGAGGAGTGGCTTTGTGTTACGCAATTACGTAACGTCGTTGTCGGAATTGGAATTTGGAATTGTCGATTCGATTACAGGGTTAATTTTCTGTTTTACTTTTTTTTTAAAAATCAATTTTCAGGTAAAGTATATGTATTTGTGATGTGGAAGGAACGGAGAAACGGGGTGGGCAGATGCCAACTTAGGAGAAAACCAAAGTTATCTGAATTGGGTCACATTTTGCAGGTAATCATTTTGTTAATCTTGCTACTATTTTACTATTTTATCCCTATTCCGAAAACAATTCTTTTTTACGAAGGTGAAAAATATTAAAATGCGCTGTTAAGGTTGAGCACTTGTAAATATAATCTTTTAAGATTGAAATTCATTAGCTGGCATGCATTTGTGAAAAAAAGTACATATACCGCTTTGAGTAAATTGCCTTGACAGTTAGTTTTAATCAAATTCACTAGATGACATTGATAGATGAAAGTTTCAACTGTACTGGAATATTATTATGTTTTAAAAGAAAATTAATTTTCTTGGCAATTTAAGCTAGACTGGCGAGGCTACTCGAATGCAATCCTGATAAGTACGCGGTGCCGGTTGCCAACTCTCTTTTCGCTCGCATATACTTTTTAAAATTAAAATTATGTTTTAAAGTAAATTAAAAATATATCATGTTTTTTTTTATTATTATTATCTCTTCCTAATTTTTATCTCTCTAAAATCTTTTATAGTCAATTACTTACGGCACCTCCTCTTGGCATGTTTAAATTAGCTAACCCCTCCGTCAGCTTTTAAAGTTTGAAACTAGTAAGGCTATAAGAGCAGCTATTTCATTTACTCGGACCCTCCCCAAACAGACGGCTCAAAACTTTGTGGGCTAAGGCCCACTTCTATTTACCCAAACGACCCTTCTTTCTTTAATGGGGTAAAAAGGAAAAATTACTTGAATATGTAATTAGTGATTTTAGCAATACTTTTTTATTTATTATGATAAATCTGTAATATGTATTAAAAGTAAATAATGTATGCAATATATATGTATTATACCTATTTAAAAATATATTGGGTTTGTTTGGTAAGAAATTGACACATTGTATTATAAGTGTATTAAAATGTGTGATAAATGTATTATTCATCAATAAAACTTGTATTATATATGTATTAAAAGTGATCAAGTGAAAATATGTTATTGCTATAAATGGTAAAAAAAAAAAAATATAGTATATTTATGTAAGTTTTCGAGGAAAAAAAATATTTAAGCCACCAATAAGATTTTGTCTCTATTTAAAAAAAAGTTATGCAAATACAACCCTCTAGAGATTTTACTTTTCAGATAATGTTAGACTCGGCTCTAGTACTTATATATATATATATATATATATATATATATATATATATTTCTCAATGTTACAAACAAAACTTATATATTACAGAAATTTAAAATGTGCAACGTTTTCTCGTTACATTTCAATTTACTTAAAATGGATCTTTAGATTATTCGCCTAAAAAGTTCATAAGTTTCCGATGAAACTTAGTTATGATGGAACAATAAATACGTTCCAATCCATGTATATAAAACTCTAATAATAATAATATTACTTTACTTTACTCCTATATAGAAGTGGGAGTTAATAGGACTAACAAAGCAATACAATTTGTACAACAAGCTAAGAAATGTGTACTTTACTTTTATTTATTAATTGGATCTATTGTTACACGTGTAGTGCAACACTACTCTTTACCAAACCCTTTCCTCCTTTTGTGGCACATGGATTTCACCTTCTTTACTTCATTGATTTCCACTAGCTTTCATTTCTTCTTTCTTCCAATGCTAAATAATGGAAGAGGCACTAATGTTTCGACTTCCACAGCTCTGATAAAAATGAAGAAGAAGGCTGGTGTTCAAGATTAAACCGATCATTTAGGACTCCACAATTTTTAGTATTTTAGTTTAATAATAAATATGTCATTTCTATATATATATTTCTATTACTATATATAATAAGTGGGAATATCTACTACTTAGCACATGACAAGTGTTACATGTGCTTAGATAGTGTTGTACATTCTTCTTTTATGGTTGTACCTTTAAAATTTATATTATTCGACAATTTAACACCATTAATCACAATAATTAATAAGTTAAAACATTTTTAAAAAAATTATGAAAATTTGGATGACTCTCCAAATTTTATTTGTGTCACATAAATTGAGACAACAAAAATAACATATATTGGGTCCATTTTAATTTATTTGTCTTTTTTTTATTTAAAAATTGTGTATAAATACTATAAATCATGATAATTGACAACATAAAATATGTTTTGAAAAAAATACAAAAAATTCCACTGATTCTTCAAGTTAATCTATCGTAAAAATACTATAAATCATGATAATTGACAACATAAAATATTTCAAAAATAAATACATATAAAAAAATTCCATTGATTCTTGAAATTAATCTATCGTTACAAATTATATATAAAATATAATAAATCATGATAATTGACAACTTAAAATATTTATTAAAAAAACACAAAAAATGAAATTGACTGATTCTTAAAATTAATCTATCAATGTCACATAAAATGAGACAAAAGTAGTAATATGTATTATTTAATGTGAAATTATTGAAAACTATGTAAAATGTATTGTAAATCTTAACAATTAACAACATTTGACTGACTCTTGAAATTTTATCTATGCTACATACATTGAGACAAACGGAGTAATATATATTAAGTATTTAAAATTACGTACAACCTTATTGCTTTCTGTAGGCTTCGAATTATCGTGGTCATTTTTTAGGCTGATACAAGTTTTGTACATTTTCTATTTATTTTTATTTTAATATTATAAATTGCAATAATTAATAATTTAAAATATTTAAAAAAACATATTAAAAATTGAGTTCTATTTAGAAATGGGAGTTTGTGAGGACCAACATTGCACTAAAGAGTTGGACTAAAAGCTATAGAAATTGTACATTGAGGCCCACCAAAAAGATGAACTAAAGTAACTTCATCTACTTCTACTTTTTCTATACATTGGAATGTGTACTGCTTTCTGTACACATGTTTTTCTGACAATTTTGATTATATTTTTCTTTAAAATAATTATTGCCTCGATTTTTATTTTTATTTTTAACATTTATTTTTAATTTTAAAAGATTGGAAATTTTATGTTAAAAATTTAAATAATAGAAAAAATGATTTATTTAACTTTTATCATCATCAATACTACTAATTTATTTGACGTTTTTTCTTAATCTTCATCTCATCATTAATGTTATTTATATAATTTTCTTAAATAACTTATTTTTTCTTTTTTAAGTCTTTTATATATATAAAAGTTGGATATGTAAATGATGATGTGACATTTCTTAGAAGCTAAGATTACTATTTATCTAATTTCTCCAAAAAAATTTAAAAAATTGAAGATATCATACGCAAATTTATGGTCAAACTTAAACTATTTGATTCTCGAGAAATAAAAAGTGTCGCATAAAATGGGACAGACGAAGGATAACTCTCAATTAAATTTATTTCACTTTTTATTTTCTATTTTTAACATAATTTTTCAAGTTGGATTTCTAGGAATTCTATAGTAGACCCATTTAAATTTTACTTTTTTGTTTTAAATTAGAGAACTTGGCCGCCGCACTTCGCGCGATCATTTAAATTAAATATTTTCGATTAATTTTATATTTACTCTGTTGTTTAATCGTAATATATATATATTTTTTAATAATATGAAGATTGTGAAAAAAATAAACCTTCACAAATTTTACATCTATTAAATGAGGAAGAATATCTTTTTTATCAAATAAGTTAAAATATATTTGCTAATAACAAATTCTTCCATTGCATGAAGTTGATCTTTTAATATATAATATATATTCCGGTGTATCATTCTCCTTAAATGTCTAAGAAATATCTCATAATGTCAAATAAAATTGTAATACTCTCTTTGTCCCTAATTACTTGTTCACTTTTAAATTGACACATTTATTAAGAAATCAATTAATGACATAGTGAGTTTATCATTTTACCCCTATTAATTATGAAGTAGATGAAAAATTCTGCAATTTTCAAAGTAATTAGGCATTTAATTGAGGGTATAGTAGGTAAAAAAAATATTTCTTTCTTGATTTGTCAAAATGGACAAGTAATTAGAGACAACTATAAAACGAAAAGTGAACAAGTAATTAGGGACAGAGGGAGTACTAAACAAATGCATTAGCAAATGAAATTTATATTAAAAATATATTGAATAATGACGTAATGATACCTTAATAGAATTTCCTATCCATTTTAAAAAAAAACATTCACCCTTTCATTTTCGTTATATCTTCTTATTTAGTAGAAGAATCATTATTTATTATATTCTACTCCACCTTAATTTGTACCATCAGAGTTTTTAAGAATAAACATTAAATTTTAAATCGAAATAAAAAATCATTGAAAAATGACAGAAAAAATAATAATAGTATATGAAAATTAAAATAAGGTGCAAGAAAAGCCTTTTCACGATAATTTTTTGAAATATATTGATAACAATTAAAATGAAGCTGTTATTTTATCTTTAAAATTAAGTTTGATTGAATTGAATTAGTACAATGAGAAAAAATATTAAACTAATAACTTTTTAATGTTCTTAAATGCATTTTATTTTTAATTGAGTAGTAGATTAAAAGTTCCGAATTAGGATATTAAAATAATATCTTACTCTCTCCTTAATTATTATCGTATTGCAAACATTTATTTTCCTTAAATGGTGATTCATTTTCCATTTACAGTTATATCCAATTAATTTCTAATGTATTGAATGTGGTTATGGGATATTGAAATAATATCTTTATCTTTCCTTAATCATAATAAAATTATAATTTAACATTTATTTTTCTAAAATGATAATTTTGTTTTAATTCCTAGAACATATTGTTTACTATATTGAATGTAATTATAATAAAACATATTGTATTTAGTATGACAAAAAAACTCAAAAATTGGAGAAATTAGATAAATAGTAATCTTAGCTTCTAAGAAATGTCACATCATCATTTACATATCC